CAGAACCAAGACAGATCCCGGACAGATCCCAGGCAGAACCCACATGGAGCCCAGACAGATCCCAGGCAGATCCTGGACAGACCCCAGACAGATCCCAAACAGAACCAAGACAGATCCCGGACAGATCCCAGACAGAACCCACATGGAGCCAAGACAGATCCCAGGCAGATCCTGGACAGACCCCAGACAGATCCCAAACAGAACCAAGACAGATCCCGGACAGATCCCAGGCAGAACCCACATGGAGCCCAGACAGATCCCAGGCAGATCCTGGACAGACCCCAGACAGATCCCAAACAGAACCAAGACAGATCCCGGACAGATCCCAGGCAGAACCCACATGGAGCCCAGACAGATCCCAGGCAGATCCTGGACAGACCCCAGACAGATCCCAAACAGAACCAAGACAGATCCCGGACAGATCCCAGGCAGAACCCACATGGAGCCAAGACAGATCCCGGACAGATCCCAGACAGAACCCACATGGAGCCAAGACAGATCGCAGACAGATCCTGGACAGATCCCAGGGAGACCCCAGACAGACCCTGGGTGGATCCCAGACGGACCCCAGACAAATCCCCAAAAAGGACTCAGGACAGACCCCAGACAGATCCCAGGATGGATCCCAAAAGGATCCCGGACAGATGCTGAACTTGCCAGGGGCTTCGGGGTTTTGAGGCTTTTTCCTGCTTTTCCACAGCTTTTCCTGGATGACACCAAAGTCAAGAACTTCATCACCTGCTTCAAAGGTACCGGGACCCCCCCAAGCCCCCCAAAACCCCCCCAAACCCCATCACCTGGCCAGCACGGCTCTCCCCCTCATCCTTAATTGGGATCCAATCCTTAATTAGGATCTCCTCCTTAATCGGAGCCTCATCCTTCATCAGGATCCGATCCTTAATTGGCATTGCATCCTTAATGGGGGGGGGGGGCTGAGCCCTCGGCAGTGGGGTCAGGGAGGGGGGACACCCCCCACTCTGGCACTTTTATGGGTGGCAAAGTGGCCACTGAGTGCTATTTGCATATTAATTACCTTACTAATTAAGCAGCTCCTGCTATTAATAGCTCCCAAGCCAACTGCTCCTCCCTTTGCCAGCTCTCCAAAACGGGGTCTCATTACCGAACAACCCCCTACCCCACGGCTAATTAACCCTGGGGGGGGGGTTAATTACCGGGGAGCAGCGAGCCAACGTCCATCCGTCTGTCCTGGCAGACGTAGGGTTCCTCACCTTCTTCTTCAAGCGGCTGGAGCCAAACCGGAGCGGGCGTTACGAGGCCGAATTCCCTTTCCTCTCGCTCTGCGGCAGGGAGCGGAATTTCCTCCGTTGCGACGATCGTCCCGTCGTCTTCACCCAACTCCTGCCGGGTTCCGGCGAGAGCCGGCTCCTCTCCTACTGCGGCGGCGGCGAGCGCCTGGCCGTGCCGTTCCAACCGGAGAGTTTGGTGATGTTGCCGGAAAACGGGCGGCTCTATCACCCGGCGCCGGCGAAGGCGGGCGGCGTGGGTTTGGTACGCTCGGCGCTGGCTTTCGAGTGGAGTCCCTGCTTCGAGTACGGGCGGGGGCCGGCGCAAGCCCCCACTCATTTTGTCTGGGAAGGCCGGCGCTACCAGCTCACCGAGGAATTGCTGCCGTTGCTCCGCGCCGGCGGAGCGAGCTCGGCCGGGGAATCCTCGTGTCAGGGCTGAGCCGGGGAACCCCCCAGTCCCGTCCCCCCCCAACCCTCCCCATCACCCCCACGCCAATGGGAAAAGGGGTGAGCACCGGCTCACCGCGGCAGGATGGGTGCCACCGCGGCGGCCGGGAACCCCGTTAGTCTATGGAAAAAAAAACCCAAACAAACAAAAAAAAGAGCTTAAACCGCGTGGCCGAGCTGTGCCGTTTCTGAGGCGCCGAGCACCCCCCTGCGACTCGGGGTGTGGGGGGGTTTGGGGGAACCGAGGCACGAGTGTGGAGCCATTGTAGGGTCTGCCTGTAAACAGCGCCGCGCTTACGGTTTTTGCCATAACCTCGACACGGCAGCGATTTATTAACTGCTCTCCCGGCGTTAATTAATCAGCGAAGGAGGGCCTGGAGGCCGATCCGCCCGTAGCTGGCACGCTGTCCCGGTGACACAAGGCGCTGCCGGGAGTTATCGGTGGCACCGGGTTCCCCGTGGCTGGGGCCGATGCTGGTGGCACCGTGACAGGAAAAGGGAGAAGGTACCCGAAAAGCACCGGGACAAGGGGGAAACACCAAATTTGGGGAGGAAGGAGGGGTTGGGGGACAGCAGTTAGGCCACAGTGCTTCGCCGAGCACCGCGGGGCGGGACGAGGGCTCCGAGCTTCGCCCGAGCTACAAGGCGAAGTAGTCGAGGGCACCGTGCCGGCAGAGGCTGGCGGTCCAGACGGCATCGGCTCTGCCGGAGCTCACCAGCATCCGGCACAGCTCGGCATTCACCGCGGCAAAACGTTCCTCATCCACCACATCCTCGAAGAAGTGGTCGGAGGCAGAGGGTGGCCGGGGCGGCTCCCAGATGTAGCAGTCCACAGGGTACGGGTAGACGACCAGGCGTAAATCCGGGAGAACCAGGGTTTTCCGTAACAAGGTTTTGAGTCCCGGTGTGGAGAGGGGGTTGCCGAAAAGTCCCAGGCAACGGAGGTGGGAGCAACGGCAGAGCGCCGGGAGCAGAGCCTCCAGCCGAGCGTCCGTCAGCCGGCACTCCATGAGGTCCAGGTGGAGGAGAGAGGCCGAGGTCTCCTCCAGGAGATGCCGGAGGGGTTGGAGAAGGTTCTCGGAGAAATCATGGCCGCTCAGGTCCAACTTCCTCAGCATCGGAGCGTGGAGGCTTTGGGAAAGGAAGGCGAGGTCGCCGGGAAGGAGGTAGCAGAAGGCCAGCTCCAGGCTTTCCAGCGGAGCCTGCAGGTCGCTGCCGGGGAGGGGAAGAGTGAGCCATGAGCCCCCCGAAGCCGTCACCGCGTGGGGTGCAAACCAGGCGGGAGCTGCCGCCGGGTTTAAATCTTTGAACAATGGGGTGGGGATGGTTCCCGTATTCCTGGAGGGATCGCGGTAGGGAATGGCGGCAATGCCACCTGGATCCCAAGCCTCCCACCCACGAGCCGGGACCCATGACCCCCTGGGGCATGAAAAAAGACCTGCTCCACCAGGAACTTACCTGAGAAGTTGCCTCAGTTTCCCTGAAAGCCTGGAAGAACCCAAGTTGAGCTCCTTGAGGCAGGGCAGCCTCCCCAGCTGCGTGGCGAGGCACCGGAGGCCGGCATCCGTCCCTGCCGTGAGCCGCCGCACGTCGACGTTGCTGTAGGGCAGCCTGAGGCTGAGGAGGTCGGTGAATCTGGCGAGGTGCGGCAAAACCGCGCAGAGACCGCCCAACCCCAGGTTATTGAAGCGCAGATCCACCCGCCGCACGCCGGCGGGTTCAAGGGACTCCAGCAAACTCACGGTGCCGGCGACGGAGAGCTCCTCGGCGTGGAAATCCCGGCATTTGAGGCGCAGGGGGCTGGCGGCACCAGTCTGCAGGGCGTCCCGCAGGACGCCATAGGACGTGCCGTTGACGAAGAGATCGGCGCGGACCTCCACGCCGACGGGTTGCAGGGCCGCCGAGGTGCCGGAGGGACCTTTACGCCGCTTGGAGCCGCGTTTCAGGCACTCGCTTTGGTGTTTGGAGACCTCGATGCAGGCTTTGGCCAACGCCACCGTGCCAGACCACAGGCTCATCCCCTCCGGGCCACGGTCGGCGTCATCGTCCTGGAGACCCGTCATGTCCAGCACCCGCAGGCGGCACCGTCTCTCGCTGGGTGAAGGCAAGAAACGGGTAAATAAACAAGCAGGGAAATCAGGGAACTGAAACAATCGGCTCCCAGGAGAGCCGTGGCCATCCGGAAACTCGCTCCAGCCCCGAGGCAGGGTGAGGGTCGCGGTCCCGCTTTCCTCCTGTGTTGCCGGTGCACAAAACAAACCCGGTGCCAACCCACGGCTTCCTCCCTCCACCGCGGCCCGAGCTGACGGCCCTGGGACGAGCATCGTCACCTCCGTCTCCCCAAGGAGAAGCAAAACAGCTCCTGCCCATCCCGGTGGAGTTTGGCATCCCGGTACCCACCTCGCGCCGCGACAGGGCTCCTCCAGCACCCGGCGGAGATGTGCCACGACGGCCAGGATGATGGTCTGGATGCACAATTTGCTGGGTTTCTCCTTGAGGAGCGAGTGACGGCCACGGTGACCCAACAACCGCTGGAAACTGAGGACGGGGAAGGGCCACGTCCCCACCAGGTCCCGCAGCGCCAGCGTCCGCCCGTCCAGGAAAGCGGCTTGGAAGAGGACGGGGTAGAGTTCGGCGGGGAGGAGGTCCAGGGCACGGCGGGCGCCGGGGCAGTAGCTCACCAAGCGACGGGCGCAGAGGAAGACGAGGGAGTGCATGGCGCCCGCGAGCGGGGCTGTGGGCAGAAGTGGGGGAAGG